ATAATTACAATGTTAACAAAACTAAACTTGTTGAAAGACTTGTGAAAGCCTGTTCAGAATTAACAACAAGGTTGTAGAACAAGTATCATCCGTAAAATATTTAGGTGCCCTCGTTAGCGACGCTTGCGACCCAAAAACTGAAATTTTGGCAAAAATCGAACAGGTCAGACGTAGTTTTGCTTCCAAGACAACCCTCTTCTCTAGCCGAGATCTGAGCCTCGAACTGCGCATACGTATGCTATGTTGTCTTTCCAGTATTTCTCTACGGCTCTGAGTTGGACACTCAATCAGACATTGGAAAACCACATTAACGCTTTTCAGATGTACTTATCGTAAGCTGCGTATATCTTGAATGGTGAGAGAAAACAAATGAGGAGGTGCTCAGGCGGATGGGCAAAGATAAAGAGCTCCTATCAACAGTGAAGAAAAGGAAATTACAGTACGTCGCCGTCGGTCACATCTGAGGGGTGAACGATACGAACTGCTCAGACTGCTCATTGAAGGCCAAATTGAGGGCAGGAGATCAGTGGAAAGAAGGCAAAACTCCTGGCTTAAGGATCTGCGTCGTTGGTTCAGAAGAACATCGATTGAAATTTTCAGAGGTGCGGTTTCACGCACCATCATAGCCAGTTGGATCGCCAACCTCCGAATAGAGACGGCAACCTAAGAAGAAAAACATAAAAAAGAGGAAGATTGGGTCAATAGATGAACAGGGATAAATTTGTAAAGGATTTTTTGACTGGATACAGGAAAAAACGTGATTAATAAAAATAAAACCCCCTAAGATTAGTGTAATCTTTATTGACAAATGTATTTTACACATAGTACGTATTAGAAGTTATTAATATTATTAATAATAATAAGGGTTTTTGATAAAGTACAAAAAGCATCGTACAAAGAATAAGTACTAAATTCTTTCTTAACCTTCTACATTGAATAGACTTTTTTCCAGTGTTTTTGAACTAGTTTAAGGTACTAATATTTTTTCGAACAAAGGAATAACGGCAGTCTAATATAGTTTCAGGTAAGTTACTAATTATATCACTGTTTTAGCTTTGATTAATTTTTTTTGGTACATACTAAAATTCAGACGATGTGATGTGATGATTTTGTAAACGAAAACTTGATTCTACACTAGGCTGCGCCGAAACATTTAAATAACTAGATAAATTTGTTAATTTATTATTATATAACTAACTAATACTATTAATGTTGAAAAATACTGATTATGAAATAATATCCTACCTAGTAGTAATGCAACTTTACAAGGTTGCCGAATTTGTCTCGACAACGCCCGCTTATTGTTACTAAGTATATCACAAAGGATAATGAGCGCAATACATGCAAAATAAGTTAAAACAAAATGTACAAAAAACATTACATTCTCCCCGTTCGGTTTCCTGGAAGACACCCTCCCTCACTCATTCCTAAAACAACTAAAAACAAACATTCTTCAGCGAAAGTCTAATAAACGATTAAAAACAAAAATAATAATTCTCATTCGGAGGTTGTCTTCCACGAAAAAAACGTTCACAATTTGAAAATCCTATTAAATATTAATTTGAACATATAACTTGATACTTATATATTACATTTTTTTTGACGAGTTACATGCCCCGCTAAATCCCTATATTTTGCACAATCCGTCAACGTCTCGTTTTATAAACAATCTAATCGGCCCGGTTGCCGAATCGTGCAAACTATCGTATATTGTCTGAAAAGTTTTGAGGCAAACTGTAACCCGTCAACGATTTAACATCCGGGACTAGCGCTATAATTCGGATCACAACAAGCTCTAAAAAAATTGTTTCATTTTTTCTTTTTGATATATCGTTTGGAAGAAATATGTATTTTTTAGTTATTTTTTTGGTCGGCTTTGGTCGATTAGATCGACGAAAATTGGTCAAAGTTATCTTTTCTTCTAAAAGCAATGGAATTAACGATACTGAAGAAATAGATTCGTATGTCTTTTTTGATGATGCGTTCGACATATTTAAGCTTACTGAATTGAAACTGGGATCTCCTTGAAGGAAATACGTAATGTAACGGAAAAAAAACTCTCGGCGCTTAGTCCTAGAGATGTCCAGGTACAATATAAAAAAATCACTCTAATATCACTTCCACTGAATACAAGGCTCGAAAAATTTCGTTGTGAACGTCGTGGATTTTCGGGATTCAATCAATGTTGGCAACGTTTTGCAACGTCGCGGACATTCCCAGTCGCCGAAAAACGACGACCCAAAAAAGCACAATGAAATTTCTAAATCAGTCACATTGAATAAACTACTACTCTTTTTTGTAATATATGTATATATAGTTTTTTCTATTTGTTTATATTAATTTCTACGTAATACGGTTGGATGTTTCCATAATCCCCAAAATTTCGATAAACTCGAGAAAATATTTCCTCCATATGTAAACCACTTGCATACTGGTTCGTTAATGAAAAATTGAAAAACTTTTGGAAGCATAACATTTTTAGATCCACATTGTACAGGGTGGTCTCATACAACGCAGACACTCCAAGGTGAGATACAGTTGCATTGAAATGAAATTCTGTGAACATGTTATGTAGGTTAATTTAGAGCATTTTAAAAAATAGATTCTAGAGTTCTATAAGGTGTCCCCAAAAAAAGTTACACATCAAAGTTGTGTTTTTTGTATCCGCACACCCTATATGTTAATTGATTGTCGGACTCTACGAAAAAATAAAAGTGAGTTTGATTAAAGAAGCATGTAACTTAAATGTAAGGTATTTGACATCTTTAACATTTTCTAAAAATGAAAAAAAAAATTTGTTCAGTACATTTTCGGAAATGCATTGGAAAATTCATGTCTCTTCAAAGTATTTGCCCACTTCAATAAAGTTACCCACCCCTGAGACAAAGACTTTTCTAAATATTTTTATTTTCATGATCTAATATGAATAGGACTTTATTATGTGATAAAAATGAAGGATCTTGTATTATTCATAACATTACTTCAACACAGCTGTCAAATTAGTTCAACTTTTGTAATTAGTTATCATTTTGTGTTGGTTGAAACAAAAAAAAATCTCATAAGTTTGTCGAAAATAGAAACCAATTTAAAAAATTCTTAAATATTCCTTTTTGGGGGAGGGGGGATAGGCAACCTTAATAGTATATTAAAAATGACCCCTGTTCATATTAATTTTTGTCTGACCTTGTATAACTTTTCGGGACAAGTGTTAATTTGATTTAAAATATAATGGTTATTTTAACTACACATTAGGCTATACCGGGTAAATTCCAATTTATGTAGCTTTTATTCAAATTTAAAATGTATTCTCTATGTGTGTTGTATGTCGAAAGCCTTACATTTTCAGTCATCTATACTTCTCTAATAAAACTCATTGTTGCATTACAATAAATATAACTTTGATGTGTAACTTTTTTTGGGACACCCTGTAGAACTACATATTTTGAACTTACAATGCCTACATTTTTTAAAAAAAATCTCTAAATTAACCTACATATGCTCCCAAAATTTTGTTTCTTTACAAACTGTCATTCTACTTGGAGCCTTCGCTTCATATAAAAGGCGCCCATCCTGTATATAAAGTATTTGAAATTAATTATACTAGCTGAATGTCCTAGCTAATGTTATAAAAAATAAAAAATACATTTCGAAGATATTAGTTATAAAAACACGCCACATCGGAATTATACAAACATTCAACCGTGAATTCTAAAAACGCCATAAAATATTATATTTTGTACGGACTATTTCTTTATTATTATTATTATTAAACAGTAATAAGAAGTGTTTGATTAAATTGAATGTATATGTATTGGTTCCTAATACCGGGCGATAACAAAAATTACCTTCCTCCCAAACCAGGTGTATTCAGGTCTTAAAACACTAGTAATGACAACAAACATTACTATTATACAAATAATGTAGTATATTTCTTTAAAACAATCGAAATACACTGCCCTTTTGATTTAATCCAACTGTGCCCTTATGTAAACTATTCAAGATATGTTGTAAATTTGCTAGCCGTAAACGTGTGTAGCCGTAAATTTACTAGCCGTAAACATGCCCGAGGCATTGAATTGACAGTGACAAGTTAATGGGAAGCGTGACGATGATAAGGGTTTAGAATTAGTGACACTTTTCCCATTTGCACTTCAACCGCCCCTATTTGTTCTTAAACGAAACAGGAACATATGTTTACAACTTACAAACATATTATCTCTATGGCAATAGTTTATCTAGCGCTAATATTTGTACTTAGGTTCGACTAATACACAGTGCAAACTTTTTATTCGTTAAAAAATGGCTAATAAATTTTAATGATCTTACAATATATCCCATGTTTGTTTATAAATATGAGTGAATAGGTTAACAAAATATATACAGGGTGGTCCGAATTGTATTCCGGAAACTTCGACAACATATTCTTCAAATAAAAATAAGTGAAAAAGTTCGTATAAATAAATGTCCTAAAATGGGCTTAGTTTTGGAGATACAGGGTGTAGAAGTTTCACTTTTATTTCGAATTATTCCAAATAATTTCTGAAGTAACGTCAATATTTGGATGAAAATTAGTGTCTGCGAGTTTTTTGACATGAGAAATTTTATTTTGATGTCAATATGACTCCTACATGTAGAGGGCGCTACCTACATATTTTTAACTGGTTTGAAAAGTAATAACTTTTTGTCCGTACCTGTATAAAACTACTGAGTAAAAAAATATACATTTACGATGCTTTTTACGTAAAAAATGTATCTTGGTAAAAATCGCTACGAGTAATAGTTCTCGAGATATTTATAATCGAAATTATTAATACCTGTCATGATTGACATAAATTATACATGTTGACTAAATAGTTATTAGACTGAAATCATAAATTTGAAATGTTTTTGAGCTAAAAGTTCAACAGAAACTGTTTAATCATCATTTTTTCGAAGAAACCACCCTGTATTTATAATAAAATGTTTTGAAGGAAATGAGAAAGAATTAAAAATTAAATCAAGAACGAGAAACAAGATAATTATATTAAAATATAAAATAATTATTGAATTTTAAACCCAATTTTTTTTTTATGCAAACAAGATATTCGCATCTAGAAAAGTTGATTTTTGCAGATAAAAATACGTAAAAAAGTTCGAGAAAATTATAAGTATATACTATATAATATCCAGAATACAAGATATGTTATTACACACCCCAATGAACGCGTAGAATATAACAACAAACAGTGTATTTTATCGTCCGGCCAAAAAAACTCATTAGACATAAATCCGTCCCGAGAGCGACACTGGCATCTTTTTAAATCTACATTTTTCTACGCCATTTACCCCGGTCCAAAAAAAGGGAAGGAAGCAATTTTCCGCATCACCCGGTAGCGAAAAAAACTATATGACACCGAGTCCCGTCTATGACAAACGACGGACGTTTTCAAATAACATGGAAACGCAAAATTCCACAGACTTCCACAACTAACCTTCGTACATATTGTTGTTGTTCTCGTTCGTATTCTTTGTGGACTTTTTTGTTTGTTTGCTTACGCTTGGGAGATTCTTATTCAATTTGCCGATGCTCAGTCTTGGAGGGCGACGTTCACTTTTCCACCAGCGGTTGATCGGCATGAGATCTGTAAAGTTTCTTCTTGCTCAACATGTAGGCCGGGCTTAAGACCACCGTTCCACCCCGAGTAAGGTTTCTGAAACAACGGAAAATACACATGTTGATAAAGTAATTAACTCCATGTGAAATGTTGATTGAAGAAGAAAGACACTTTAACGTTAAAAACGTATATTCTGTTAAGGTACGCGCACACTGACCAGAGCCGCGCGCGCCGCGTCGACCGAAGAAAAATATTGTTTGTGTTACTTTCAATGAAAGTGCGCACACTAGCCAGAGCCGCACGAATCACATAGACGAAAATGTGGCCAGCATTGTTGGGCCAGAATTATTTTCGATAAATGCGGCTAGTGCTGCTGACGTCACACGCAATTCCTTCCACTCTACGTAGGTAGCCGAAGAAGAGATTAGAAATTCAATATGGTAAGAAAGTTCACAAATTTTTCATGTCTCATATTGAAAAAATTTTAGTTCATCCTCAGTTAAATATGGAAATAATGTGGATTTTTGCAAATATTGTGAACCTATAACTTTCGATTCTTTCTCATGATTTCTTCTTATTCTATTAGCAAGGAGCTTATATTTCTTGTTCATTGTTATTAGGGAATGCAATCTAGCAAATGCTGGATCCCTCTGAGATTCCGCGGGATCAAAGTTGCGGGATTTACCGTGCGGGATCTGCGGGATCGACACATTACTACTGAGTAACCGAATCGATCTCAATCAAGATCAAACCGCTTCGTTCCGGGCTGATGCCGTCGACGCTCGGAACCCCGGGGGATCCCCTTACGGGTTGGCCATTAAAAATAAGTAAAACAAACAGGTTAGTTGTTAGATTTCTTTCTGGCTTATGTGAAGTGAAGAAAAGCGTTTAACTAGTACTTGTGGACAATTTCGTCAAATAAACCGCCGGACATAATTATCGGGAGAAGCAAAATTTTAGGGTAAATTTAAAGTTGAATATCTCTTGAACTAAAAAAGATTTTTGGATGCGGTTTGGACCAGGTTTTAGATGCATATATTGTGTTTAAAGTGCTATGTGGTTTTCGGAAATATATTTAGTGAATTTTCGTAAATTTGGTTAAGAATCTCTTTTACCGCCAAAAAATTACTCATATAGAGTGTACCTAGAAGCAGATAATTAACACAAGTTAAAAAAACTTCAACATTAGAATATTTCTATTTATAAAATAAGTACATAACTTATAATAAAATTTAAGTTTATTTAATATTAAATATATTTTTTGAACACTCTGTATACATCGGTTCAAATTTCTGTACAGCTAGTTTAAGATACACGCTATATCAATATATTATGGACCTATGCAAAATGTACAATGCCTTTTGCACCATTTAGGACCAAATGTATGACTATTGTTTAGTCCCGCAATTTTGCGGATCCGCGGGATTGATTGCTGTAGTCCCGCGGGTTTGCGGGATTGAGATTTTGGTGCGGGATTGCATTCCCTAGTTGTCATTCATTGTCGAGAAATATTAAAAAACACGCTTATCACCGCAGACAGGACTCTGGAAGCGACTGATGACAAATTCGATTGGGAAATACGGGTGTAGTAGGGGAAAAAGAAACAAAATAGCGAATAAGGCGGCGCGTGCGGCGCGTTCGGTACGGCTCAGTGTGCGCGACAAGAAAAAAAAGTGCGATTCGTGCGGCGAGTGCGGCTCTGGTCGGTGTGCGCGTACCTTTACAGTTTTGTTAACTTTTTACAAAGGTCTCAAGATAAAAGTTACGGTAATTATTGGAAAAACTATAAATCGTCCAATTTTCACCAAAATTGGTATACACTCTATTTTGAGTTCGTAAATTACGAATCTGCACATGGAAAATTTTTCCTGGGGGTCTCTTACCGTTTTTCAGAAAAACGGAAAATAATTTCAACACTGAATTTTTCTTTATTTCAGCCGTATAAAGTAATATTTTCATTATATTATTTATACCTGCAACAAGTCAGTTATAAAAAGACTTAAGTCTTAAATCATTTCTAAAATCAAAATGATTTCAGTCTTATGTCAAATTCAATACAGGGTGGCCCATCGAAAACGTTCCGCAAGACATAATCAAAGCTATTGAAAGTCTGAAAGTAATAAATGAAGTATCCATCAGCCATCTCCAACTTGATGAAAACATTGATATAAATGATATATATATATATATATATATATATATATATATATATATATATATATATATATATATATATATATATATATATATATATATATATATATATATTAGTTTTGTTTATTTCAAATATCAAACTTAAAATGTTCTTTTATTTTTAGCATAGTTATCTTTAAAAAAAGTTTTATTTTTGTTAAACAAAGATACATCCAAATAAGCATAAAAATATTTTCAAAATTTTGTATATTATTTAAGCCGAACCAGTCAGTTTTTAATTCAAATATATTTGCTGCAGATAATTGATATTGTTGTGTACTTAATTAGGTATATAAATAACGCCACATACACTGAAATAACACTTATTTGCAAATATATTTGAAAGAAAAATTGACCGTGTATGATTCGAGTTAAGGTGAATTTTTGTTACAAATTCCCAGTGCTTTAGTTACAAAAACCACAGTGCCTTTGTTACAAATTCGCAATGATTTTGTCGCAAATTTCCACTATGTTGTTACAAATTTGAAGTGCTTTTGTCACAAATTTGCAGTGTTTTATAACAAATTCGAAGTGCTTTTATCGCAAATTCTCAGTACTTCATAACAAAGTTGAAGTGCTTCTGTCGTAAATTCGCAGAATTTTGATAATGATCTTTGAAGACTTTGGGATGAAGTCGTGCAAATCGCAATACTTTCAAGATAAGGCTGTAGTCTTTGCAACCAGGGATTCTAAAGCCTTTATCCCAAATGCATCTTGAAATTACCCCAATTGAACCATGCATTTGGCATATATCAAGAGCATGGCGAAATTGGTTCAAGTGCCTTCGCCCTTGGGCCGATAGATTTGTTTTTTCAGTGCAGTTTAAAAAGGAACGCTGCTGTTAAAAATTTATCAAAAAGATATAGAAAAATCTGACTTAAGCCTTTTATAAAAAGACTTAAATTTGTTTAATGACTTAAGTATTTTCTAAAAAGACGGAAATCTTTTTCTATTTCGGAATAAACATTTAAATCGGAAGTCATTTTGAAAAAGACTTAAATCTTAAGTCTTAAGTCAGCTTACGAAACATGACTTAAGTCACTAAAATAATTTAAATCAAAAAAAGACTTTAGTTTTCTGTGAGCTTGCAGCTTTGATTATAGTTTATTTAAAAGCCATGCACACTGGACTGAGGATAGAAAAATTTCCCAAATTTTACTGAAAAACACTTTTCTTAACAAAATAATACAGAAAATTGAGACAAAATGGAAGTTTTTTTTTCATCATCCTAAACGATATTTTCACGGTAACTAAAAAGAAAAAAAATAGTTTGCTTTTTTTTTGGTGCACCCCCTAATATATACATTTAAAGTTTTCTCTAATTATTATTCCTTCTTTGGTAGACTATTATTTTAATATTGTAAATGCTAAAACTTCGTTAATTTTCTAGTTTAACAAAAAAATAATTTCCCAATTCAATAAAACACCAGACTAGATTAAAAAACGCTCAACTGACTAGGAGGGATCTAATGAGGCAAAGCAAAAAAAAATCAGCGCTATGAAGCATATTCGATTATTACTTTTTCAAATTGCCTTTTAATTGCACCACGAACGATCGATATAATTACCACATTGTGTGCGAAATAGCACGATAATGACCGAAATGAACCGATGATGGATAGATAGGGCAGACAAGTGGTCGTAAGCTATTGGGAAAGGAGCCTGTTTGTGCTGAGCCTATGTTAATGGTCCTTCTTCATTATAACTGTCAGACAGGGGTGATATTATAGTTGCATTTCGTCAAAATATGATAAGTGATGATAATCTTCTGATTGAATAGACACAGTCATTAATCAAAAAGATATTAAGTGTATTAAGTCAATTACTGTATAGAAGGCGGTTAGAAGCTAGTGTCACCGTACAGTTAAGCTCGATTTATACACAAGTGAACATTCAAAAGTCAATTTCAAAAAGACTTAAATCTTTACCAAACCAAAGGCAAAACCCCTCACCCCTAGCCAACAAGAGAAGAGCCTACATATGCAAAATCAAAAAGATTTTAATTAGTGATGGTCATTACAATTCTTTTTAGTGAATCGAATCTTCCCCTAGGAGATGCAAGACCTTGTCGTTGGTGGGGAAGCTCCTGGTCCTGGAATCCCCCCTAGCACTTGGCTTGGTCTAAGAAGCATCTCACTCATCGTCTTGTCCCTGACTGTAGTGTCGTGGCCAGGGAATTGCACCAAGACATATAACGATACCGGGCGGGGCTACGGTCAGCCTCAACCTTGGGGCATCGGGGGGCACCCCATTGTATTTTACCCCTTACTTCTACATGCGGGGCTCTGTAGAAGTGGACCGACTGTCCCTAGCGACTCATGGGAACACTATGAGATCTGGTAATAATAGTAATAAAAACATCACTGGTGAAGCTGTGGGGAAACCCCCTAGCAACACTGGGAACAGTAACAATGAAAGTTCCAAGGGGCCAAACCCAAAGAGAACTACAGGAGAGGTGGCTGACACTTGTGTGAGACCATCCTCCGCAAGTGGCATACAAGTTACCACCTCCTCCAAGGGTCGGGAGCCTACCTCCTACCTCTAAACCCAACAGGCGACACAAGCTACTGTTTCGTCTACCCGGCCTGGGTCGTAGCCCCTCGACTGTGAAGGACACGGGTCTCCGTAGGAAGTCCTGGGACTGTATGATGAGTTATAACTCAAGAAAGGGGGACACAATAGATCTCTAAGGTCGCAGAGATCAACCCCCTCCCACTTATTCTAAATTCTAGTGAATCGAATCACACGATTCAATTTCTCATATTGAATCGACTCCTACGATTCGTTCATTTAAACGAATCACATGCACAATTTACGTTTCATAAAATCAAGAATCGTAAATGGCACTACCGGCGATAATTTGGTGGGACAATTACTTAAGGGGCCAGAAAAAGAAATATACA